CACAAAAAAATGGATAAACTGATTCAACAAAATTAAAACTTTTGCTCTTTAAAAGATAGTTAAAAATTAAAAGACAAGCCAGAGGCTGAGAGAAAATTTTACAAACCAGAAGTGTAACTAGAATAAAGAATTCTTACAACTTCAGGTAACTGATTAAAAATGGGCAAAAGATTTAGACACTTCATAAAAGGATATATATAAATGGCAAATGGACACTAAAAGATGCTCAACATCATACGTAACTAGGGAAATGCTAATTAAAACCACCTATTAGAATGACTAACATGATAACACCAAGTGTTGGTGAGGATCTGGAGCAACTGGAACTCTTACAAATTGCTAGTGGGAATGTAAACTGGTAGAACCACTTCAGAAAAGAGTTCGGAGGTTTCTTAGAAAGTTAAATTTATGCTTACATATGACTCAGCAATTCTACTCCTAGGTATTTACCCTAAAGAAATGAAGATATTCTACATGAAGGCCTGCACACATATGTTTATAGTAGCTGTATCCATAATACACGAAAACATGAGAACAACATGGATGGCCATTAACAATGATGGGCAAACAAACTGTATGAAATAAAAAGGAATGGAAAACTAATCACACAACATGGATGAATCTCAGAACATCATGCTGAGCAAAAGAAGTCAGACACAAAAGAGTACATATGTATGATTCCATTTACATGAAACTCCAGAAAAGACCAATGTAATATTTAGGGACAGAGCAGATCAATGGTTGTTTGGAATGAATGTGCATATGGAAGATCAAATGGGAAGGAGCATAAAGAGAACTGCTTCAGGTGATGGAAATGTTCTGCACCTTGACTGTGGTGGTGGTGATGTGGGTTTATACATTTGTCTAACTTTACAGAACTGTATAATTTAAATGAATACATTTTATTGTACATAAATTATATCTTAATAAAGTTGACTTAAATGAAATAACTTGAGTGAGCTGAAGCATGTACATTTTTTTCTCTCAAAATATTCCTACTTTTTGGACTTCCACAGGCAACTCCACAAATCAACTTAGTAGGTAAAATAGCTGAGTGACACTGAACAAGTGAGTTATTACTCTGAACTGAGCAATTTTCCTCATCAGTAAAATGAGTGAATTAGATGACTTCATTTGTTCATTCAATAAGCACTGACTAAAGCTCACTATGGGCAAGAAATATGCCAGGTTCTAGAGATACAAAGCTGAAAAAGAAACCATTTTTTCCCTTTAGGAATCTGTCTAGGGGAAGACAGCTAACATATCATTAGGATACTGCTTACGTATATTTAGGGTATGAGGAGAATTCATAAGAGAAGCCATCTTCCCTGATGATGCAACACCTGAGCTGGGTTTTGAGGTACAAGTAAGAGTTAGGTAGAGAGGGAAGAGAAGGCATTCCAAGCAGAGGGTGCTGTATGGGCAAAGGGCCAAAGGAGAGAGAGACATACCATGTGTTTAAGGTACTGCAGGTTGCTTAGTACATCTGGAACACAGATTTCATCCTTGTGTCTTGACTGAAAAAAAGTTTTAAAAGATTCTGCTAGTTTAACCAGTGTGTAGATAGGGGTCCTGTACCAAAGATGATATCCATGTTGTAGAGGATCACCTAAAAGGTAAAATAACTATACCTTCAGTTAGGATCCTTTCTATTGCAAAGAGAATCTTTTGGCTCATGTAACAAAACAGTCCAGGGGTAGACTGATGGAGTGTGACCTGGGAATTAACAAGGTCAACAGAGCAGCTTCTAGCTTTTTGCATTCCTAGGCTGCAGTAGCTCCAGACCCTATATCCTCTCTTGTTCATATCCAGCTTCCCTGAAAGGCTAAACCAAAGCCTCATAATCAAGGTTCATTGATTTTGCACAGTCTTAGGTTTTGCACGGATCCTGAAGCAATCCTTGTGGCCAGAGAGATGGTACATAATGATGGCTTGGCCAGGACCCAGAGGTCCTGGAGGTGGGAGTCAGCCTCATCTGAAGCGCATGGAGGAGGGGTAGATCTCCAAATAAAAATTAGAGCCTTTGCAGAAGAAGGGAGACTATAGATACTTAGGAGGAATTATATTTTAAGAAAAACAAAATTGTTGAACAGATTCCAACAATTTTTAGAACAAGTCCGGGGGTACAAACACACATGGACAAATTTCTTCTTTCATCTTCCATTCCTAGGACTAGTCAATGCAAATTGACTTCAGAACAAAGTGATGTGAGACTCAATACATATACAAAAAACTATCACTCAGTATTCTAAGCACCATATTAGTAAATGAGCAGTTTTATGAGAACAAAGAGAAGGGTGTAATTAATTCTAATTTATAGGCTCCAGGGTATCTTACAGTAGAGGAGAGTTTTTTAGTGGGGCCTTGAAAGATGGAGGTCCTTCTGGCAGAGATAAAGTACAAGGCCATAGCTGGTTGAGGATGAGCACGTAATTTGGTGAGCATGATGCACAGGATAACAGATCAGTGTGAGAGAACGGGAATGGAAAGATCAAGCTGTGGTGAATTTCCCCCACTCTGCTACAGAGCCTGGACTTTATCCTTTAAGCAATGTGGTATCGTTTAATTTTTAAGCGTGTAAATGACACAATCGAACCTGTATTTAGAGAGCTGCAAGAACAGATTAGATACTTCCTGAGACAAGGAAGAAGATAAGTATAGGGGAATAAAGCTAAGTTGTGAAGTGGAAGCCTGAGGGAGTTCAAGCCTAATGGTCTCTATTTTCTCTATAAAATAGGCAGAGAGAGTACATGCAGAGTGTAAGTGGGTGCTATGCATTTAAGATATACTGAAAATTTCAATTAGCCAGAAGGCTGCATTACCAAAACATTCTGATCTAAAAGATTGTTCAATAAAGTCTTCCACAATATAAGATCATACATATTACATACATACATAGTGAGTGAACTGAAATCCAGAAAAGCCAAATGCCATTCGTCTATTAGGCTATTTCACCACCAGTAAGAATGCCACAGGTAGAATAATGATGTAATTATCACTGGTCATTCAGATCACTGTGATCACTGGCAGAGCCTATGTGAGGGGCTGCCAGGGGTTGGTAGGAGATGACATGGGAGAATGCTGGAGGGAGGAGGTCAAGAGAAGTAGTGTGAGTGTAGTTAGAGATGGAGTGGGCAAGGCAACCTGACTGCCCTCAGTGCAGTATTTTAACAAGCTGCCAAGAGCAGCATACGGCTGAGAGGGGTTTGTGACAGCAGCGAAATGTGTGGCAGCCTACTAGGTTTGGCTTTGGGGTTCAGATTCACAATGACTGGCTAGGGCCACCTGTTCCAAACGAAAGGATCTGCTATGCTATGGTCCATTCATTTTCTTATAGATACAGAAGAAGTCTCAAATTATCAAAGTCATACAAATGCTAATGAAGTTGGGCATTCTTCACATATTATCTTCTACCACTTGATCTTAAAATGTCATATTTAAAATAAATTACTGGGACCTCCCTGGTGGCACAGTGGTTACGAATCCACCTGCCATTGCAGGGGACATGGGTTCGAGCCCCGGTCCAGGAAGATCCCACGTGCCGTGGAGCAACTAAGCCTGGGCACCACAACTACTGAGCCTGCACTCTAGAGCCCGCGAGCCACAACTACTGAAGCCTGCGTACCTAGAGCCCGTGCTCCGCAACAGGAGAAGCCACCGCAATGAGAAGCCCGCGCACCGCAACGAAGACCAGCCCCGGCTCACCGCAACTAGAGAAAGCCTGCGCTCAGCCACGAAGACCCAACACAGCCAAAAAATAAATAAATAAAACAAAACAAAATTAATTACTGACAACCTCTTATATTTGCTTGGTGCTTTGTAGTTAAAAAAAAAAAATCACTTTCAAATGTATTTTCTCATTTGGTCTTACTCAACCCTGTAAGGTAAACAGAGCAGACACAAAACTTTCCTGCTGCCTGTCCTCTCCCCCGCATACCCCACCCAAATTACAGATAAGAGAGAATAGATTATCTGGGGACTTCAAGCTAGGACAAGAACTCCTCCAGTTTAATGTTTCTCCCACTAGATTACTACATTGCTACTTTTAAAAAAGCTTATGAATATTCTCCTAAAGAAAAAAGCCAAAGGTGGGTGTATCTGTACACATTTGACCTTAATCATTTAAAACTCTCTCTCTTCCTAACAATCACGGGTATATGCTTATCCCTGTGATGAATGTGCATTCGTATACACAGAATGGCAAAGTGTATGATTATAATTGTATCGCCTTCAAAAGCAATAACATGGAGTTTATTAAGAATCAATCACTGAATAAATGATTATTTAGTCCTCAGTAAGTCAACAAGTACCTGAAGAATAAAAGCATTTATGTAGATTTCCAAATTAATAACTAGTAGTTATATAAAATTCCACCACACTTGCAGTCTTGTGCTAAACCTCATACATTTCCTAAAAATATACTCTCTAAATAAAAGACTCCGGAACTAGATTTTGATAAAACTTAATACAATTCTAAGCATTCGGTAAGACTATCAATCCATTGATTCAGAATTTTATTGAAGTGATCAGCATCTTGAATTTGAGTATAAAATTGAAAGACAATGAGTTTTGGACTTTTTTTCCCCCACATTCTATCATTCTGCATTATAGAAATGTTAGGTCTCTAAGAAGTAATATAAAATAAGACCCTCTACTTACAATAAGGACCAAAATAAGACTGATGCCTTGCATAATGTCTTCAGTTCTAGAATGAATGTATAATACCTACTTCTGGTCTCGCTAAGCTGCTCTGCCCTAGAAGTAAATCTCATTAAACCAAACTTCAGTAAAAGTGCATATGGGGTTTCCCTGGTGGCGCAGTGGTTGAGAGTCCGCCTGCCGATGCAGGGGACACGGGTTCGTGCCCCGGTCCGGGAAGATCCCACATACCGCGGAGCAGCTGGGTCCGTGAGCCATGGCCGCTGGGCCTGCGCGTCCAGAGCCTGTGCTCCGCAACGGGAGAGGCCACAACAGTGAGAGGCCCGCGTACCACAAAAAAAAAGTGCATATGGTTTTGATTTTTCATTCCCTTCATTGAGTCCTTGGGTGTCCTCTTTGTAAACTTCCAAAGTAATGGAATCTGGCAACAGATCTCAGCAGCGTCAAGTCTTCTAACTAAGAGATGGAAGGTTGAGAAATTTAAAGGGATCATTCTATTTTCTTTTTTCAGAAAGTGATGAATAAAACTGTCAGATGGAGACAACTGTATTTGACCTTCCCCAATAGAGAGAGAAATAAAATGGAGAGGGATCTAGATTTCTGATGAGAGAAAAGTTGTTAAAAACACCAAAGTACATTTGAATTCCCACTTAAAAGCATTATCTTTTTCAAGTCTTCCCACATCCTACCCCACCCCTGGCTTTGAGTGAAATGCAATTTATAAGACAAAATGATTCATTATCTAGAGATAAATTTACAAGCTGACATAAAAGAACTGTCCCAGAGGCTACATTACCTATTCAAGTTTATTACAGTATCTTTAGTTCTTATTGCATATATTGTTACATGCCTTTTACAAGCCAGGGTTATCTATGCTATGTATGCTCAATTTAGCAGAAGTTATATCTACTGCTTCTCTCTTGAAAATCAGCAGCATGCAGTGCAATACGTGGTGTGCAGGGTTATTGTTTCAAAAAGTGAAAAACTACTTAGGTTTAACTGAGGAGGAACATGATCTTTATTGGCTTATATGCAAAGTTTAATTTTGGTTTTATGCAGAGTTTGCATAGTTCATGATTACTTTCTAATGAAAAACTAGATGTGTTGTCAGTGACCTTGAAGAAGATCAGGTGACAGTAGCAAACAGAAAAATTTGAAGAAGAGGCATAACTTTTAAAGTAGAAAGGTCAGCAAGAACTGCCTGAAACAAAAAACAAAAGGAATGATTAATATCGGCATTCTGATCAGCAAAGTGAAGCCTATGAAATAAACACAGAAACACCTTTACAATGTAATTCTGATATCAACACACTCTTAAGTTCTTCAGATTGGTCCCAAATCTCTGTACTGAAGCTACAACCTTCTTTCTCTTTTCTGAACATCTTAATGTTAGAACATGTGCAAAATACTCAAATGTGCAGTAGAAAATAATCTGGACTTTAGTCTTGAGCCTTCTTCAAATATACAAGGTAGCATGAGTTTATAAGAGGTCTAACATTTCAACTTGCTTCTATAAATAAACGTACATTATGAATCCTAGTCCCGTTATACTAAGGAGTAACTGACTTTAGGAAATCACTTTAAGATGGAACTAATGTTTACTCAGTTGCAAGATGCATAATAAACATCCTCTTCCCTTTAAACAAAGAATGTAGGCAGCTATTTTAAGGATAAAATTTACATTTCTATGAGAGATAACAAATAGAGTAATATTGTAAGCCACTATTTAATTGAACCATGCTTCAGGTGTAAGATATACTACTGAAAAGAAACGAGCTCTAAATAATTAACCCACAACTAAAAATAAACAAAAAGCCCATGTATCTTTACTATATCATCCAAACACATGCTCTTTAATTCTTTCAACTAGTTTGTCTTTGTTCTATGAGCATAACACATGGATGTGAACAATTATAAGAAAATGCAACATTAAGTCCCAATAGTTTCTATTAAAACTACTAGGTATCTTGTTTCCTGTAATGGTTATAGTGGTTTCCCATAATAATCTTGTTTATGACTCCTTCACAGGAATATTGTTTTCAAGTAATTAAGGAATTCTGAATACTTAATATTACTTAGCTCAAAACTTACGGGTTTTACCTAAGTTAAAAAATTAGTCTGCGAGTAATGTGTGTCCTATGCATCTGATACTAAAGTGCCCGAGCCTGGCAACCTCTCAGGAACTATTTCCATCCCATCTGAGTGAAACGTATCCTTACTTCAGCTGCAGCCAGTGATGTCACCTCCATCAGGTTCACTGCTCGGAAAGCAAACACAGCAGCTGCCAGGACTGGAAAAGAATGCACACTATTTCAACTGCTGGTCTGGTCTACTCATCAGCCAGACAACTTTACTGCTACGCCCACAACCCACGATGAGGGCTCAGAATTAGTGCTTCACGACTGCATCCTGCATTCTGAGTTAAGGCCTTGTGATGAATGGAAATTGTCTCCTCTGGAGAACAGTGGCTTGATGGTGCAGTTTTGGGAAAAAGGGAAATTTTAGTGGTTTTAAAAAAGCCATTTTATAAATTGTTTCATACCTATAACTTCAATTGTAACAATTTTTAAATGGCATGAAGATCTAATGACTATCTTATAAATAAAGATTTATTTTGATGCAGGTGTTTCTTACTGATGCAATGGAGAGGCTTCTGAGAAGTTATATGCAGACTGAATTTTTAAATATATCAGATGATGTTTCATATGTATCAAGGAGGTATCCTGATAAAAATGTGGCAATAAAGTCTTTCCTTAAAAATATTTTTATACTATTTTGTTATATTTATATTTTTATGCTCATCATTGACTTTCTTAGAGTGTCATAAGTGGATACGTCTGTGGGCCGGGCTACCGTGGGATTGATCCTGACATTTACATTAATGTTGGCCACAGAAAAAGAAGTTGAAACTTTGAAAAGAAAATAAAGCAAACCATTATAGAACATCTTGAAGGTCAATAATATATACTGAGTAGAAAACATTTGGATTTTTGTTCCCATTAATCGTCTGCATATGAAAAGAGAGTAATGCTACATGCATTATGTCTTCTTATATAATCTACCACAAAACTTTGTGAAAGTGAATGAGTCATCATGAACAATGGAAGGACCATGTAATAGGTTCAGGCAACTCTGATAAGGAAACGGTACTGCCTGGAGGTGACTCTTGACTTCTCCCCATTTTTTTCATCACCAGTAGTGGTAGTACATTCCCTAACCCAACATGCCCTTAAAGTTTAGGAAATGAATGGTAAGGAATCTTTAAAATGATTTGGAAGACTCGTTCCTAAGTATATTGCATAGATAATGCAAATGTTTTTTAAAATACATTTTTACTATGGAAGTAATGATAATAGCAGTTAATTCTAATACCAAAAATGAGTTAAGTACTATTGTTAGCCCCATTTTACTAATGTAGAAACTGAGGCACTGTGAGTTTGGATGATATATTCAGAGTCACACAGGTAGAAAATAGTAGTGACTGCTCAACTCTGGCCCTAGAGCTCAAGCATTTAACCACTATGTGATGACATTTTTGAAATTGAAGGTAAGCAGTAATGGCTCATCCCTGATATAGAAATCTGTGTGCTTTCCTAAGAATCACCTTCTCTTTTGTCTCTCAGAATAGTTTTCCCCTGGGATAAACCATAATGGAAAAGAATATAAAAAAGACTGTATATACATGTATAACTGAGTCACTTTGCTGTACAGAAGAAATTAACCCAACATTGTAAATAACTATACTTCAATTAAAAAAAAAAAAAAGAATGGTTTTCCAGAGATGGCCTGAAGGATGATGCATGGTGGTCCTGGGCTCTGGACCACCTGATAGCGGTCATGCCTATGGATTAGAAGTCAGGATCCAGGTCTTTTAATTTCCCCAGATAGAGGCTGAGTGACTGGGAAGCACAGGCATTTTTCGAGGGGACAACAGATTTTGGACAGTTTGTCAAAAAAAGCATTAGAACTAGTTAGGAAAATTCTGGGAGAAAAATACAAGGTAGTGGTAAAACAAAATTTAAAAAGTCATCAGCTGGGGTTATTTAATATGTAACAAGGGATATAAGAGACCTGGGGCAAAGGATTTACCCTTTAATTGAAATGGAGAAAACTTAAGTACCTAAAGTCCCTCAGCTTCCATTTTTACAAGAATATCAAAGAAAACCATTTCTGTGGACCAACAACTTCTTTATAGTTTTCTAATATCTGGAATCATATTTGAAAATGCAGACATTTTAGGAGCTAAGGGTTGTGGTCACTATTTCCTTTTTTGAGTATAATTTAACGGAGTTGGTGAAAGCTTGACAGGATGGTCAAATTTTCCGCTGTAGCAGGAAAGAGTTTTACATGGTGGGAAATATATAGTTTTTCCAAAGGTAGATAAGAGGGGGAATAAAAGAGTAGTTACTAATTGACTTCAGCATCCAAAATGCTTATGTACTTACAACCTTTATTTATCTTGGTGTCACATCACAGAAGTTCCTTTCCGTCTGCTTCATGATTGCTTTGCCCAGTACTTCCTCACAGCAGGTTTATTTGCCAAGGAAAACAGGTCTATACTTTGGGATATTTTCTTTTTTAATTAAAAACATTTTTTCTTTTTTTTTCTTTTTTTTTGGCTGTGTTGGGTCTTCATTGCTGAGTGTGGGCTTTCTCTAGTCGCAGCGAGCTGGGGCTGCTCTTTGTTGCAGTGCGCAGGCTTCTCATTGTGGTGGCTTCTCTTGTTGCGGAGCATGGGCTCTAGGCACGTGGGCTTCAGTAGTTGTGGCTCGCGGCCTCTAGAGTGCAGGCTCAGTAGTTGTGGCCCACGGGCTTAGGTGCTCCGCGGCACATGGGATCTTCCCAGACCAGGGCTCGAACCCGTGTCCCCTGCATTGGCAGGCGGATTCTTAACCACTGCGCCACCAGGGGAGTCCTGGGATATTTTCAACTGAAGTCATGCTTCATATGAAATACAGAAACTCAGATATTTACTTTTGGTCTTTTAAACTGTTCTCATTAATTTTAAGCAACTCTATCATGAACATTAAGACACCTATGCTTTAAACTGTTCTTCAAAAGGCCCTAATTAGTTCACAATTGAAACCAGTAATATTTACTAAAATATTTCGAAAGACTACATAAGCTCACTTGAGCAAAAAAGGTGGTCACAAAATATTCAGCCTCAAAAATGTATAAAATCATCAAAACTGACTTATATACACATCTACATGCAATTACCTACCCTATGGCTCTTTATCTGAATTCCATGGTAGGAATTCCCATTAGTCTAATTCCATTTCTAGATGTTCTACAATTCTTCTCTGTTGATTTCTTTTTTTTAAATAAATTTATTTATTTGTTTATTTTTCCTTTTGGCTGTGTTGGGTCGTTGTTTCGATGTGCAGGCTTCTCACTGCAGTGGCTTCTCTTGTTGCAGAGCATGTGGGCTCTAGGCGCAGGGGCTCAGTAGTTGTGGCGCTTGGGCTTAGTTGCTCCGCAGCATGTGGGATCTTCCTGGACCAGGTATCAAACCTGTGTGCCCTGCACTGGCAGGTGGATTCTTAACCACTGTGCTATCAGGGAAGCCCCTCTGTTGATTTTTTAAAAACACTCAGAGAAAGTGAATGGATGCAATAGTGTGAACTGCATTTCTACCTATACATCAATAACTTTTTAATTACTGTATTAAGCTTACAGCAAAGTACGTGGCTTAGAGCAAATGCAGCATTCAACATTCATTTCTCTTTCACTTCAGTTTGCTGAGGGGTGATAAGTCACAGAATGGGAGACTTTACATTGGAAGACGCTTTGAAGGTCTTCCAATTCAACATTTCTTTCATGATAGAAAACCTCTTAACCCTTCAGATGACAGTTAAAAAGCCCATTCTACTTTTGGAAAGTCCTAATTATTAGAAAGTACTTTCTAATACTGAGCCCATTTCTTTAACATGCTCTAATGTTTTCTGAAATGATACAAAAAGCTACATACAATACTCTTCAAAATTTATGCCCTACCCAGAAGAGTTACTTGGTAGAAAATCTAAAATCCTGTTACCTGAGAAATGGTAGCAAAAAACAATACTACTTAGCCTGGAAAATAGAAGACTTTGAGGAAAGGAGGGGGTGAGAGAGTAGAAAAAACATGATGATGATCCTGGTTTAACAGTAGTACATTCTAACAAGTTATATTATCCAGGGACTTCCCTGGCTGTCTAGTGGTTAAGACCCCATGCTTCCACTGCAGGGGTTTGATCCGTGGTGGGGGAACTAAGATCCCACATGCCATGCAACGTGGCCAAAAAAAAAAAAAAGTTATATTATCCAGAAATGAAATGGGTTACTTGGTATGACAGGGATTATCCAACACTGAATATTCAGAAACAGGATAAGGGCTGCCTGTTAGAAATATTTAAAAGAAGTTATACCTGATGACCTCTAGGATTTCCTTTTGTCTCTAGATTGTATGTATCGCTACCATTCAGCCAAAAGAGGTGATGGCAGACCAGTTTTTCCTAACTCATATTTGGACGGGCTTTAAAAACAACTGAGATAGAAGGATACTGGGAGCTGTTAAAAACCCCAGTAAATGATAATCTCTCGTTATACCAGGGGCAACATTTATCTTCATGGTACTTTATCATTACCTCAATTTTCCTTTTCAAAATGCCACCTAATTACTCGAAATTTCAGCATTCAAAAATATGTTAATATGGTACCTACAGAATCTTCTGCAAGAAAAGGGTCATCAATTAAGCATTATTTCCAAATGGCCCAGAGAGGTGTCTTTACAATGCTATCACTGGGTAAAGATTAAATAATTTTTTCAATGTCACAAAACTGGAGAAGGTTGGAACCAGCATTCTCTGCTTTCCATGTGAAAACCCTGTAATACTTATTTGAATTCCCTGATAATTTCAATGATAAAAATAATTGAGTCGATTTTACACACAGAGAAGCAAAATAATATAATAAGAAATCTGTGCCCTATGTGTTATCACACAGTTGCCCTCTGTGTATATCTGTTGTAAGAACTTAATTATTAAATAAGAGATAGATTTGTGGCTTTCTGAAAAAAAGATGAATTTCTTTTTGGCTTAAGAGAATATGTAAAAGGGGAAACTCAGTTACCAGGGCAGGAGTCAGAGACTGTTAGCAACAAGGAAAAGGTTTTGAGTTCAGTATAAACTAGTCCAGAAGAGCTGAGATTTCAACTATGCAGGGAGGCTCAGCAGTCTCAGTTTGGATTTTAGGTAGTAGTTGAGAAAGGGCACAGAACAGGACACTAAGGTAGTCACAGGAGTCAGGAAAAGAACAGAAGTATACCTACACTCTGCTGTGCAAACCTCACAGGTGCTGAGACTGTAAGCCCTGGCTGGATTAAAAGCAGGGGAGGGGAGCTGGACATTCCTAGAAGCGACGAAAAAAGACTAGGAATAGACGTGATGGGCAGTTATGCAGACATATTTAGATTGCAGAATCTCAGTGCTTGTCTTCTAAGGCAGATACATCTACTAAATGTTCATGAATTAGAAATGACAGACAACTGTAGAATTAAATTCCAATTGCAGATGGTGAATGTCAGAAAGGAAAGGGGCTTTACTATAAAAAGAGCATGTGTTTTACAAACAAGCACTTACTCTTACCAGCAAGAATTTCCAGAGAGTTGTACCCTAGGATTCTATCCCACAAAAGCAAGAGTTGATCTGTAGCTAAGTATCCAGAAAAAGCTCGAACCATCCATTTAAATGATATGCGAAGTCTGTAAGCAAAGAAAAGAAAGAAATTTTACCAGTGGAATTTTTTCTTGTCAAAAAGCAGTATCAGAAGAACTCAACCAGTTCCATTATTAGGTAACCCCTTTGTGGGTCTGAAAAATCACATGGGCATTTAAAACTCAAGCACTCTACATATATACAATGGAATACTACTCAGCCATAAAAAAGAATGAAATAATGCCATTTGCAGCAACATGGATGGACCTAGTGATTATCATACCAAGTGAAGGAAGTCAGAAAGAGAAAGACAAATACCACATGAAATCACTTATATGTGGAATCTAAAATATGACACAAATGAACTTATGTATGAAACAGAAACAGGCTCACAGACATAGAAAACAGACTTGTGGTTGCCAAGGGGGAGGGGGGAGAGATAGATGGGGAGTTTGGGATTAGTAGATGCAAACTATTATGGTATTGAATGGATAAACAACAAGGTCCTACTGCTGTAGGTCCTACTGTTCCTACAAGGAACTATATTCAATATCCTGTGATAAACCATAATGGAAAGAATATGAAAAACAATGTATGTATACGTATAACTGAAACACTGCTGTGATTAACACAACATTGTAAATCAACAATACTTCAATAAAATAAATTTAAAAAAACTCAAATACTCTATTAAAAGCTGTAAAAAGTGCAATGGTGAGAAACCATGAGTCCTCAAATTAGTGGTCTCAAAAGCATTAAGAGGGCTTCCCTGGTGGCGCAGTGGTTGAGAGTCCACCTGCCAATGCAGGGGACATGGGTTCATGCCCCGGTCCGGGAAGATCCCACATGCCGCGGAGCGGCTGGGCCCGTGAGCCATGGCCGCTGAGCCTGTGTGTCTGGAGCCTGTGCTCCACAACAGGAGAGGCCACAACAGTGAGAGGCCCGCATACAGCAAAAAAAAAAAAAGCATTAAGAGAAAGAATTATATTCCTGGGTCCTACTTTATGTTATAGTTCATTCTTTAGAAAACTCACTTCTACATTCTGTTTTTCAGGGTGTGTACTAATTAGCTATCAGTGAGGTGATCTTATAGTCTTAACAGTTCCAGGCAAGCCTAGAACATTTGAATTTTCATTCAAGATTCTTGAAAGAGCTTGATAGCTGCATATTTTTCCAATTCAATAGATTATATTCCTACATTTCACTCAAATGGCTACAAAGGATGAAAAAAGACAAAGAAAACTAGTTTTAAAGCTATAGGGGGACTTCCATAGTGGCACAGTGCATAAGAATCTGCCTGCCAATGCAGGGACACAGATTCGATCCCTGGTCTGGGAAGGTCCCACATGCCACGGAGCAGCTAAGCCCATGCCTCAAACCACTGAGCCTGCACTTTAGAGCCCGCGAGCCACAACTATTGAGCCCATGCACCTAGAGCCCGTGCTCTGCAACAAGACAAGCCACCGCAAGGAGAAGCCCGCGCACCGCAATGAAGAGTAGCTCCTGCTCACCGCAACTAGAGAAAGCCTGCGCACAGCAACAAAGACCCAACGCAGCTAAAAATAAAAAATAAAATTAAATCTTTAAAAAAGGAAAAGCTATAAGGGACCTTAGAAATAAACCTCTGATTTGAAACCCTTAGCTTTATAGAGGAGGTCATCAGAACTCTGAAAAATCAACCAGAAAATTCAATTAAATTCTATTTTGCAAAAAAAAAAAAAAGTCCTAAGAAGTATGAGATCCTACTGTTTCATAAATAGGTTATGTTACAATAACAATTTATCTCTAGAATCAGGAAACAAACTCTTTGGCTTTGGTGCCTGAAGAGATTAAATAGTCTCTCAATTTCTGTACTATCTATTGGCAATTAAACATCACTTGACTGCCCCTGAGAGGTTCTAGACAAATTCTTTGTTAAAATTGTTATATAGATAAATATCTGTACTTTTTCTTAAAAGAGAAAATGGGATTGAGAGATTACCTTTGTTGGTGTCACATTAACTTTTCTTGAGACTGAAAAAGGACCCCCACGTTTCAGAAATTCCTCAATACTAGGTAACTATTGTTCTAATATAACAAAGTACATGTAGGCAGTAGTATTGATAAATCAAGATTTTTGGTTGGTTTTAGAATATCTGTTTATAGATGCCAAAGAAACTTTTAGCCACCAATTATTTTAAATTTAAATAATTTACTAACTTTTAAGCCTCAATTATTAACTTCAACTAGTTTCATTTTACTGGATCTCTCAGTGTCTTATTAGAACAACAGCACCACACATCATGCCTTCTGCTCCCTAGTAGACAGCACAGATTCAATTTCTTAGAAATACAGTTTATTGAGGTATAATTTATGTATAGTAGAATTTGCCCTTACTAATGCACAATTCTGAGTTTTGTTAAGAACCAAATGGAAATTTTAGAACTGATAAAAACAACAAAAACAATAACAACAACAACAACAAAACAACCCTCACTGGATGGATCCAATAGCAAAATGGAAATAACCATTGAGAGAGCCAGTGAATTTAAACATAAATCAATAGAAGTGTCCAATCTGAACTACAGAGTAAAAAGGATTGAAAACAAAATGAACAGAGCTTCAGGAAGCTGTGAGATAAGACTAAAAGTTTTAATATTTGTGTCCCAGAAGAAAAGGATAATGAGTGTGGTGCAGAAAAAAATATTTGAAGAAATAATGGTTGAAAACTTCCTAAATTTGGCAAAAGAAATAAGCCTCAAATTCAAGATGTTAAGCAAACCCTAAACAGGATAAACCCAAGAAATCCATGTCCAGATACATCATAATCAAACTGCTAAGATCTAAAGACAAAGATCTTGACAGCAGCCACAGAAAAACAATAATTGATATTATTTCTTCCTGACGTGTTTTGTAGAATTTGCCCATGAAACCCTCCAGGCCTGGAGCTTATTTGAAAGTAGAAGGGATAAATTAAAGATGTATATTGTAAATCCTAGGGCACTGTTATAGACTGAATGCTTGTGTCCCCACTCCCACCCCCAAATTCATATATTGAAATTACCCCCCAATGTGATGGTATTAGGAAAGAGGTGTGTGGCCTTTGGAAGTTAATTAGCATTAGATAAAGTTATGAAGGTAGGTCCTCATGTTTGGGATTAGTGCCTTCATAAGAGTCATGTGAGAGCTTCTTTTTCTTCTCTGCTCTCCATCATGTGAGGATACAATGAGAAGCAGTCTGCAACTTAGAAGAAGGTCCTCTGGAGCTCAACCATGCTAGCAACCTGATCTTAGACTTCCAGTCTCCAAAACTGTGAGAAATAAATTTCTGTTGTTTATAAGCCATACAGTTTACGGTAATTTGTTATAGCAGACTGAACTAAGACAGACACTTATCAAAATATATTTTTAGAAAGGTATAGATAATAATCCACTGGAGATAAAATGGAGTAAAAAATTATTCAACTCAAAAGTAGGCAGGAGGGGAACTTCACTGGTGGTCCAGTGGTAAAGAATCCACCTTACAATGCAGGGGACACAGGTTCGATCCCTGGTCAAGGAACGAATATCCCACATGCTGTGGGGCAACTAAGTCCACGTGCTACAACTACTGAGCTCATGCGCCTCAACTAGAGCCTGTGTGCCACAAGCTACAGAGCCCATACGCTCTGGAACCTGCATGCCACAACTACAGAGCCCACCTGCCCTGGAGCCTGCGCGCCACAACTAGAGAAGAGAAAACCTGCATGCCATGACTAGAGAGAAGCCCGCATGCTGCAACGAAAGATCCTGTATGCCTTGACGAAGATCCTGTGTGCCGCAACTAAGACCCAATGCAGCCAAAAATAAAGAAAATAAATAAATTAAAAACAAACAAACAAACAAACAAAAGTAGGCAGGAGGGACTTCCTTTGTGGTCCAGTAGTTGAGAATCCGCCTTTCAATGCAGGGGACATGGGTTTGATCCCTGGACAGGGAACTAAGATCCCACATGCTGCGGGGCAACTAAATCCCTGCACCACAACTAGAGAGAAGCCTGCATGCTGCAATGAAAGATCCCGTGTGCTACAACTAAGACCCGATGTGGCCATAAATAAATAAATAAATATTAAAAAAAAAAAAAAGTAGGCAGGAAAAGAGGACAAAAAGAATAAAGAGTACATGGGACAAACAAAAAAATGTCTATCAAGATAGTAAATAATATCAATTGATATTATTTTAATCCCATAATATCAATTACATTAAATGTAAATGGAATAAACACACCAATTAAAAGACAAACTGCCACACTGAATGACCCAAGTATACTTCTGACAAGAAAGCCATCTGAAAAGTAAAGACATTGATAATCAATACATTAAAAGTAAAAAGACAGAAAAGAATACACTATACAAATTGTAATAAAAAGAAAGCTGGAATGGCCATATCAGACATAGTAGATTTATTGCTAGGAAAAGACATTACATAATGATAAAAAGATCAATTCTCCTAAAAACAGAGTCAAATACATGAAGTAAAAATATATATAGCAATGCAGAAATAAAAAGACAAATTCACAATTATAATTGGAGACTCTAACACTTCTTTCTCAATAATCAATAGAAAAAGTAGACAGAAAATTAACAAGTGTATAGAAGTCTTGAACATTATCAACAAGCTTGACTTGATTACCACTTACAGAACATTCTGCTCAACACTAGCAGCATACAAATTCTTTTCAAGTGTACACGGAAGATTCATCAAGATAGATCATATTCTGGGTCATAAAACAAACTGTGACACATTTAAAAGAACTAAAATCTTATGAAGCACATTGTCTAACTGTAACAGAATTACAATAGAAATCAATAACGGAAAGACATAATATCTTTCCCAATATTTAGAAATTAAACATGCAGTTTTATATAAACTATGGTCAAAGAGGAAGTCACAAGAGAAATTAAGAAACATTTTGAATTGAATGAAAGTGAAAACATAACACATCAAAATTTGTTGAGTGGAGGTAAAGCAGTGCTTTGAGGGCAATTTATAACATTATTGCTTACATTAGAAAAGAAGAAATGTCTCAAATTAATTATCTAAATTTCACCTTAAACAAGTAGAAAGACAAGACCAAAACAAAACTAAAGCAAGTATACAGAAGGAAATAACAAATAAAAGAGCATAGGGCTTCCCTGGTGGCGCAGTGGTTGAGAGTCCACCTGCCGATGCAGGGGACATGGGTTTGTGCCCCGGTCCGGGAAGATCCCACATGCCACGGAGCAGCTAGGCCCATGAGCCATGGCCACTGAGCCTGCGCGTCTGGAGCCTGTGCTCCGCAACGGGAGAGGCCACAACAGTGAGAGGCCCGCATACAGCAAAAAAAAAAAAGAGCATAACTCAATGAAACTGAAAATAGAAAAACAAAATCAATGAAACCAAAAACTGATTCTTTCAAAGAAGAATAAAATTAATAAACCTCTGGCCAGAATAATCAAGGAAGAGAAACAAGATACAAATATCAATCTCAGGAATGAGAGTGGTAATGTCACTCTGATTCTATAGATATTGAAAGGCTAATTAAGAATTATTATGGAATATTATGAATAATTTACGTCCATAAATATGATAACAGATAAAATGCACTAAGTACTCAAGAAGAAGGAGATATCCTGAAGAGTCCTATATCTAGTAAAAAAATTAAATTCTAAATTAAAAACCTTCCAATAGCATTAGTTTTAATTCATGAAAGCCTTTTAATAATTGATTTCTAGCCTGATAATTAAATTTTTATATTTTCTCTTGCATCAGAATTTTAATGTTTATCATAATTCACTGAAATAAATTTGTTCCTTTTAATGATTAAAGTGTATAAATAGACTAGAAAAAAATCAGGATTTTAGCTTCTAGCAATAAACGAAATGTCTTCACTCTAGTAAGGAAAAGCATAGTTATATTCAAATATTCATTTTACAGTAGTAAAATAAAGGTCAGTTTACCACAAGAAAAAATGACTTGTATGTAATATAAAATATTTCTGCCATATTCTTGTTTTATAATATTAATTATTAATAAAATCCTGTTTTTTAATGTCTACAAAAGAAAGAGTGCCACCTAGGTGTTATCAACGGATGATATGAGGTGTTGTTTTATAAATGGCATTTCTAAGATCTAAAATGTCTGAAATTCGATGGTGATTTTAGAATGGAGATATACATGTATATATATATGGAGATATATATGTATATATACATATATATATCAATATATAAACATCTACATATTCAATCTTTAAACAACTCCATGAGGTAGGAATTCCCTTGATTTTAAAGATGAATAAATTAAATTATCTTGACTTAATGAAAGAAATTGAGGCTTAGGTAAATTAAATAATTTTATCAGGATTTTATAGTTTAGTAGAGATAGAATTTGAATCTGGGTCTGTCTCTTAAACCCACCCACCCACTCATCCATCGGCTATGGATTCTATTTCCCATTAACTACTTTCGTGGTCTCAAAGAGTTAGTGTTCCTTTCAAATATGTCCTTATATAGGAGAAAATGGTTACACAGAAAGGAAGACAGTAACAAAACACTGATAAATCATTTGGAAATTTCTGTTGCCTTAAGACACTGTTAATTAAAAAAGAGAAAAGAGAACCAATAATAATGAGGTCCACAGGTACCCTACATATTCACTGATAACTCATATTGAGATAAATGAACAAAAATTCAAGCTTTTGGAAGAAAAAATCACAGTGTACAACCATTGGTAAATAATCGATCTAGATTCCTTTAATGAAAGCCAGCAAACTTTAACTTTTCTGTCTTTCATAAGTTGTTTTCTGATAAATTTGGCCTAAACTGACTTAATTTTAGTATTATCACATTTCTCAGGTAGTATTTGTTTCCACAAATTTTTGCCTCAGTTTGGCCAACACATTTCATTATGAATAGAAATTAGTTCTTTTAGTGATTCTTGTACCAAGCACAAAAATCCAAGCAAATAAGAATTTATTAGGATTTTGGTAAGTCTCCCAAGAATTTCTGGCACAATGTCGAGTTATAATTTACTACTTGATAATTATTGTTTTATTGGGGAGACTGTTAGTTTAATGTCTCTGAAAAATTACTGTATCTTTGATGATGAAAAAGAGCCTTCTGATATCAATTTATTCTTCAATTAGGAGAGAAAAATACTCACGGTTGAGCCCCAATTTCTCGTAGATGATAAAAGAGTTGGGGGAGATAAGTTTGAAGAAGAGTTTCAAACAGCAGACAGAGTGACACGATACCCTGGATACAATAATAAATCACAAGAGAAATGCATAATTTAGTATTTAAAAATGAACTCTGCCATTAAATTATTCAAATGGAAATGAGAAAAAGATTATCAATATAAATATTTTTTCCTTTTTAACAACGATAGGCTCCCCACGTAACCTGGCATGTAGTAATGTTAGGAATTCAAGGAAAACGGCATTTTATAGAAAAACCTGCTTCTCTGTAAGTCATATAGTATCACGTAGGCCCAGCAAAATTAGTTTTTTCTGGATGCATTCCAGTTTCCAGGTATTTCTCTGGTGTTATAGCCACACCTTTCACTTTCTCCTCCATATGTCCCTTCCCTTCCAGCTGTCTCACCCATCAGGGAAAATATTTCCTGCTTTTTTAACTCTTTCATTGAAATCCATCCCCAGAGAAAGACTGTTTGAAATTTGCATCAGGAAGTTATCAAACAAGAATGTTTGATTACTTAGTATAAGGATAACTTTTTAAAAAGCTGAAATCCACTTTTTTAAAAGGGCATTATCTGTAGAGTACAAAGTAGATGGTTTTTCAAGTGCATTTATTGCTTGACAACTCTGAATAAAGTCTTTCTTGCAGCTCAGCATTCCTCAGCGTTGATCTTTGTAAGGAAGTTTTAATCCTCTTTTTGAATTTCTAAAGAAATAAGGCTGTCATGGTTCCAAATAGTTAAGTCTGGCTGCAAGCCAGAAAAGGAGATGACTGCCTGTTAAGTCTTTATTTCACTGAATAAAGAAAGGGCAGAGGCAGGGCTGTCCCAGTCAATCAGCTAAATAAGGACACCTTAGGGTCAGCACAGATATAGAGAAGGCATATCCAGAGTTGCTCAGTGGCAAGCTTCAGTGGTCTGCACAGGGAAAACATCATGGGTATCTACTGGGCAGCCAGTTAAAAACAGTTTTTTGAAACTCTGAAGCATAAAATGGTACAGAATATGTGAGTAAGAAATCTGAGGCTAAGGATGAGTTATAAGAAAAAAGAATTATTAATATATTTAATATAATATATATTTTGGTTATTCTAGATTAAATATTCATGCAATATAGGCATTAAATCAAGTTGTCTCAGAGAGAAGAAACCCAAGATAATTGGCGGTACTTCATTTGTTCATCTGTGACATCCTGGATTTCTGTTACTTGCCTGCTTTCACTAGCGATGTATGAGAGCAACAGTGGAGACAGAGGAAGGTGGAACAGGAATACACAGGAATGGCGGGGGGAGGATAATGAACTGCTATTTAGTTGAGTAGCAGTGACAGCCTCCTCTTTTGGGAAACTTGGTAGCCCTGACACATTCCAATTTTTAATGTTTTTTTCTGGAGAGTCAGTCAAGTTACCCACAAGCAGACCAAAGCAGGCTCAAAGACAGAAAAAGTATAACTGAAATAAAATAAACACTGCTTTTACTCAGGCTAAGGAGGGTGGGGGTGGGGGAAGGAAGATATGATAAAGGACTGGACAAAATAAAACAGATACAAATACACAACTCCCAGTATGCTTCTCTTTGAATTTCATGTTAAGGCCAAGGAGCCATCTATTGAATAAACACAAAGGAGATATCTAGTTTGATAACTGATAATTAGCCAAATTGAAAAATAAGGGACAAATAAATGTTTATTTTTCATTAACAAAGAAAAGATGATGACGATGATGATAATCATAACGACAACAATAAAAACAGCAGCCATCTATTTACTGAACATCTGCCACGAGCCAAGTGCTACCCAGGTGCTTTGTACACTGCTCTACAGCACCACAGAAACTCATTATTAACTCTGAAATGAGTTTCAGAGAGGAGGAAACCAGCATTCAAAGAACTTAGCCACCTTTGTCAAAGAAAACAATACAGACATTGCTATGTTTTTTCTTTCAACATATAAAAAATAATTTAAATGCAATTGATAAAAGGCTTTTTCCTCTCTAATTATTACTAAAACTATTTAAATATCAATTTCTTCTTCTCTTTCACTTATTCCATAGAAAAGTGTTGCTTGACCTCACAAATTAACATTTGTTTTTCTTAAGGAAAGGAAAAACAGATTAGAGTCTGCTTTGATCCATTTTTTTTTTTTTTTAATGAACTTACAGAAGGATGAGAAGAGATGGAATGAAGTCTGAAGAAAAAACGCACATACATCTCACGGAATATCTGATACAATTTGGAAGGTTCATGGTACAGAAAACAAAGTGGTGCAACTGAAAGAACAAAAAAGTTAATTAATAATATTGCAGAACTACTAAAATTAAAAAAATAAGTTCACAAAACATGAAAGAATAAATATTTTCTAGTAATAATATTCATTCATAGACAAGTTTAGAATCATATATATATTCTTTTTTCATGTTGAAAAGGGAATATATGCACACATAAAAAACTGAGTCATTAAAAATTAAAAAGAAGGGAGTAAATTATAAAATATTATAATCTCAACAGTAGAATAAGAATGACACAATGGAACTATACAGGGATATTGAAAATTCAAAGTAACTTTTAAAAACTACATAAAGTCAAGTCTCTCTTTTTTTCAATTGAAATAATAAGAAAGTGACAATCAGGCAATTCATTTTTACTTTGTCCCACAAAGGATCTTTTGAAATTTTTGAAGTCAGGTAAGTAAAATATAAGATGATTTACGACTAGCTTTTAGAACGATGGTCTTCAACTAACTGAATTTGAAAATTAAAATTTTGATGAACAGTTTAGGCTATTGGTCTATATTGGCATATCTCAATATGTATCTAGACAATTTTCATAGGCTTAAAATAAAACAACTCTTAAGAATTTATTTCTCTAATGAATTTGAATTAAGTTTTCTTTTGTACCCAGTTCATGGCAGTTAAGCACAGGTGGGTCAACTCAACCAGACAGCTCATGGCTGACTGTCAGAAAGTCAGATTTTAAAATCAGATGCTGACCTGACAGTCTGATTATTCTGCACTTGCGAACGTGGTCATGCTTTTCATCTTTTCAACACTCAAGAATTTTAGGCAGCATAAATACACTATAATGCAGATAATATAAAACTGCATTACCTAAATATTAATTTAATAAAAGTGACTTATTTATTGGGTAATTTCATCTATGATATAGATCAGACAGGTAAGAAGGTCTTGGGCTCTATAACGTCAGTGATGCCCTGAGGGCAGTAGGCATTAAGTAAGCAGGGAAATCAATGAGCCAACTCAGCTCACTTCCTTTTGACAACGTGAAAGGAAAAAATGATAAAAAATTTAAAATTCTGACAAAACAAAAATTCGATTATCTGGGATAAATGGCGGTGCACAGTATTACTGATGAATAAATTATCAAAAACTAGCATTGCAACTGAGAAATTTCACTTTTCTGAAGGGCAAAAGAGAGACAAATCAATTTTAGGGTGGTAAATATCTAAATACATCCAAAAAACCCCCTCCTTTTATATATATCTACAGGAAAAGACCTTTATGTTATATATATATATATATATATATATATATATATATATATATATATATATATATATATATATATATGTTTAAAAACTAACAGCCATGTCCTTTCACTTCAAAACTAATTTTAAAAAATTATTTTACTATCAAAATAAATTCCTACTTATTTAAATAGCCCCAACTGAGGTATTCTATACATTTAAAAAGAATAACTCTCATTCTAATTGCAACAACCTAAGAAAAAGCAATGTGGCACAAATACATGGTATTATTACAAATTCAAAATGAAGGTATGGAATTCATTTACTTTTTGTGATGATGCATATTTTCCCCTCCAACTTCTTAAGTTATTGTTATTTAAAAACTTGTAATTTGAATCTAAAGATTTTAAAGATTCAGTAATCATTAATGATCATTTCCAGTGAAGGAATGAAAGAGAATTTTAAAATCAGCACTTTTCTATAAACATATATAATATAGAAAATGTTATAATCAGTTATTATTCCAGATGCCACAATTGTTGATGTTGAATTCCCTTACATAGCTATGAAATGGAAAAGTTTTAGTCCATTACATATAATATGTAAAAAATCTTCTACATGACTTTATTTTCCATCTTAAGCATCTTTCCCTATTTGGTTCCTCCATAAAAATGAATGAGCTCATCATCTTTTTAACCAATTAAATACTGCACTATAGGAATTTATTTATGAAATCATAATATACTATACCTACAATAAAAACTTCATTAATCTACATATGTGGGAAAGGATAAGGCCAGTTTAAATTAGAGAAAAGTTTTGAATAAATTTTTAAAAGAGGAAAGTACTATAATTTTAAAGAAATACAGTAACTAAAACTAAAATGGCCTAGTACTATGTAGAGATCCTGGGGATAAGTTGCAATTATGCCAGTATACTGGTTCTAAATAAGTGGTCGCTGCTCTAAAGTATTTGTGGATGCTTAACATATTTTTCTAAAATAGTATAAACTGTATATCAAACATTTTGCATCGCCTATTTCCTTAGCGAACGTTTCCTCCTTGGGTGTATAAACTTTAACCTATTAAAACAACCAGAAATGTGAATAGGCAGGAGTCAAACATGTATTTTGTACCCTGAGAGTTGTTAGAAGATTTAAACTTTCCTGATGTTATTAACTGTTCTCCAAATCGCTCAAGTACACCTTTTAAAAACTAATTACTTGAAAAATGCTTGCAGTTGGAATTATCAAAATAAAAGAATAAAAGGGCTAACATTTTTTATTATTAAAGGTAAAAATTTATATTCTTAACCTTTTTAGGTTTTCTATTTTAAATTCCTCACATATTTATAAAAGAGAAATATGCTGGAACCTCACTATAACATTATGTGTTCCATTATGAAATTTTTGTTGTTCAAGAGAATAAAGCCAAGGGCAGCATAATGCAGAATGCCTAGGCACTTTGAATCCTTTTCATTGTATGCTCGTTTTAAAGGTTTTATATTATGTCATTCACGATGACTGTCTGATGCTGAACACTTGAGGGGTTTTTTACAAAGAAAAGTGTTAATTTATTGCTGATTCTTTTTACAAAAGTAAACATTAATGTATATTTCTGTTTAGTCTAAAGGTTGGGGAGTAGGAATAGTTGGGACAACAATCTTCAACAAGCTCATATGTAATGCATGAAAATTTAAAAATTAAGTGGCACTTAAGGCATAGAGCATTCTTCCTCTTGCTAATCTTTGTTATGCTTCCTGCATTCCTCATTCAATGATACGTGAGGACACAAAGGTGCTCAGGGCTCTCAAACCTGCACATGCGTTTGTCACGTGTGCCTCAGGATGACTGGATGCTTCAATGTAATTGTTGCTGTGCACACCAGCCAGACTGGAGAAATCATGAACTTACACTCAGTGTTGTCCCTCCCTTTGCATTCTTTCTGACCTATTATTTTTTTTTTTAAAGACTTATGAGAATTAGTTTAGGAATTTTACATCTATTAGATTTTTACATCTATTAGATGTAAAAATAAATTTTTACAGCAATAAATTATTACATCTATTAGAACTAAATATCAATGTGTGGCTCTAAGTTCCATTGAATTAGAAAATGGAAAACCACAGAACCATTTTCCTGGTATGTTCAATTCTAATTTGACAAGCAATCACCATCTGAGCAATTATGATGACGCTTTATTTGAAAAAACTTTTAATTGGACATATAAACAGATATCAAATCCAATGTTTAAAAATGTTCACAATAACATTGTTAAGTGTGTGGTTGATGTAATATAAAGTGTGATTTTCATGTTTAATTTTCTAAAGTGTAATAAAAACAGTGAATATTTTAAAGCCCAACTTACCATACATTGAAAATCCATGAAAAGGGATTACACCTAAAAAAATAAAAAAGTATTTCTTTTCAATTAGTATACCCACTGAATTATTAGGTAAACTTTAGAGAATTAAAGCCAAAAATAGTGAGGTCTCCTATTTTTGCTTCAACTTTGTTCATGCATGTCAGAAAGACTTAGTGATGGGTCACCGACAAAACGATAGGCTTTTTAATACCTTTAGAAAAGCAATCTAGAGGTTTTCAATATATATCCAGTTAACTTTCTATTGATAAAGTTGAAAATTAAGACTGTGAATATGTGTTACAAAAAACAGAACAAGGCAGACCACAGAACTAAGTTTAAGAACTAACTATAACGGTCTCAGAAAGTCAATAGATTAAGTCCTTCTTGAAGCAACTTCATCCTGTATACTGGAGTCCAATCTGTTAAAAAGTAAGTGAGCATTTCAAGGCACCTCTTATATAGATGCATTCCCTTATAAACTTACCACAAATTACATCACAGGATGTGGTTTAGAAAAAATATTGGCAGGAATATGGTACAAATTCAGTGTAATCTTTGGCAAGAATTATACACAAGTAAAGTGCACATCCATTTAGAAGAAAATACTTGAAGCCTAACTTGGTATGCTAAACATCTTGTCACACTCTAAGTGAAAAATTAGAACTTGTACAGCTTAGATTCAAAATGGAAGTTCTGTAATATATACACCACCATATATCTAACACAGTAGTAAATCAGGTTGCAAACACAAAAGAAAGATGAGTTTACTGTTTTGAAAAATAGCACAGAAATGCTTCATTCATATGACATGTTCAGACGCAAAAACTTAGTGTTGGCAGAGCCTTCAGAGGTCACCTAGGGTAAGTTCTAACAAATGATAGTTCAGTCTCAGTCTAAAACATCCAGCAATAGGGGGCACATTCATTCGCAATGCAACCAATTACAATTTTGAACAATTTGGTGGGGAGTTATTTCTCATATGGAGTGAGACTCTGGTTCCTTGTAATCCCCACTTACGTTTCCTAGTTCTGACCACAAGGGTCACATGAAACACACCTAATTTATCTTCTGTGAAAACTTTCAGAAATACTGGAGGACACTGTTCTCTCCCCCATCCCCATCCCCACCAGGTTGGGATTTTTGTTTTGTTTTGGTTTTTGGCTTTTTTTTTTTTTTTTTTTTTTTGCTCTGAGACTTTATGAGTTTCTTTAACAGTTCCTCAGACTGAATACCTTCTCTATTCTATTCTCCTCTGGACAAGCTGTAGTTTACGACAGTCCTTAAAGTGAGGTGATGAAAGCCTCTAAGAATTTTTCCTCCCTACACACCCCACAGCTAAAGCACAGTGCACTTGTGCAGTTGTTTCTGACCTAAGTAAAGAACTGTATTCTTATCTCTATTACATTTCCTCTTTGGTGAACCGTTCCAATTTGAGATAATCCTGGATTCTCATCCTGTTATCTAATGTATTCCCTCTTCTTCCTGGGTCCACATTGCTGGAAAGTTTGATAAATACACTATCTATGTCCTCATCTAGAGCACTATAAAAATGTTGAACAAGACAGAGTGAAGGGGCTTCCCTGGTGGTGCAGTGGTTGAGAGTCCGCCTGCCGATGCAGGGGACACGGGTTCGTGCCCCGGTCCGGGAAGATCCCACAGGCCGCGGAGCAGCTGGGCCCGTGAGCCATGGCTGCTGAGCCTGCGCGTCCGGAGCCTGTGCTCCGCAACGGGAGAGGCCACAATAGGAAGAGGCCCGCATACCGAAAAAAAAAAAAAAAAAAGACAGAGTGAGGACAGGACTTGTCACTAGAGACCTCCTTCCATACTGATAGTAATTCATTGATCAGCACCCTATTGTGGTAAGTTAAGAACACAGACCAGATATCAGACAGACTTGGTTGGGTTCATCTAGCTCTGTTGTTTAAGAACTTTGTGTGCCTTTAGGTTAAGTTCCTTAATCCCCTAACCTTCAGTTTCCTCATCTCGTAAATCAGAGACAATGCTAGAACTACATAAATGATTAAATGAGATAATGACTGTAGCTCAGCCATTAATAAATAAATAGTTTAGACTCAATAAAAGTTAATTATTGATATTATTATTCACAAATTAGCTCTTATTTCTTTGATGATTCTAGAAGTAATTTTATCAAAAAAAGTATGAGGAAAATCCAACATTATTCTGAACTAGTATGCCAGGTCAACCACCTTTAGAATTTTGTGCTGCATCACTCTTAAATTTCACAAGCTGTAATTCTCAGGATCTACCTTTTCCCATTTTTCCCTGGTCTTCTAGAACACACCACAGATTCATGTTGTCCAACTGTGTCTGAATTCTGTGCTGTTTATCATTTTCCCTGTTTATCTCTGTTTGATGAGCCACCCTGTTCTTTCAGAACCTTCCTGCTCTTCAAGTGCTTCACACTCAACTTCCCTCCTCTCTGGGAGGCTGATGCCACTGACAGAAATTCTCACTTGTTGTTCTTTACCTCAAACATTCTTCACACATTTCATCTGTTTTCTCACTTCCCTTTAGGGAGGTCTTCGGAGGAAGATGCTTCTTCCTTTTTCTTTTTCAGAGCTACCATCTTCACCTGTGTTCTTAATCCTGTTTCCCTCACTTTCTCTCACAGAAGTTATGGTCAGATCTGTGGCTTGTCTATGTTTGGCCTGTGAGCTAAGAATGGATTTTTACATTTTTGAAAGATTATTTTAAAAAACAACAATGAGGAATATGTGGCAGAGACTGTCTGTGGCCAGCAAAATTTAAAATATTTACTATCTGGCCCTTTACAGAAAAGTTTGCCAACCTCTGCTTTGGAATCCTGCCCCATCAATTTTCCTCCTCACCCTTTTGTGTGCATCATTCAACAAATAGGAATTGAGCCTCTACTATGTGCCAGACACTGTTCTGAGGTCTGGAGCCTACTTTTTATTAGGGACAGGAAAGTCATGATAAAATAAGTGAATGTATGTCAGACAGTGATAAGTGCCACAAAGAGAAATAATGGAGGGAAGGGGGAGTGAGAGGAAAAGGCTGGGGGAGGGAGGAGGTCTTACTGATAAAAGAGCCATTGAAGCTAAGTAGACGAGAGTCACCTGGTAAGAGGTGACCGGAGGCCCTGGGCTTCACGTGGCGATTGCTGTGAACCGGGATAAGCTTCCTGAGGTCAACGGCCTGAAGGCGGAGGGTGGCGGCATGGGCTCTCACCCCTGCTAGTGGAGGAGCAGAGGCAAGGCGTGGGTAGGTCCTATCAAAGTACTCCTCTCTCCAGTCTCTCCTGTTTCACTGCAACCTTTCAGCCCAAGATATTACAAATACCCTTGCTAATAATAATGACACCAAAGAAGAGGAGGCGGGGGACTTGTCCATTTTCTTCCCTGAACCTTACTTTCCCATCAAACAAATCTCTAATCTCTCTTCCTTCCTTGAAGCCAAGCTTAACTTTTAAAAAACTATTCAAAGTAACTTCCTTTATTTCCACATTATATATATCCCCAATTCCTTAAACTGGTTTCCACCCCTCTCACCCCAACTCCTGATGGCTGAATCCAGGCATCTCCCCTCTGTGTGTGTCCTGGCCTCCTAGCAACTGAATGTTCCTTCTCAAACTTGAGCCCACCAGGCACTGATGACGCTGTGCAGATCAGGCTCCCTGCCTCAGAAACTTCTGCTGCTCAGTTTTTGTTTTTGTTTTGTTGTCTTTTGGACTAGTTGTCTCTTCCGCACACTCCTTAAATATAGCTACTTTCCAAGACTCTGTCATACTTGTTTTCTCTCTCCTTCCACCAGTATTCTCATTTTTAACCTGTAATTCAAACAGTAAAAACCCAGTTTCCTGCGCCTCCTTCTGGACTACCTAGCTCTGTAAACAACTCCTTCCCTCCCTAGGCTTCAAGGAAGAAAGCTTTGAGTCATCTTTGCTTTCTAGTCCTCCCTCAGCCCTTATACCTAAATGTGATTGTGTTCCTTTCCTGTCCCTTTAAGATGAAGAATGCTTAACTCTTCAGGATTCAGCCACAGTCTAAAGTCAGCAGCTTCATTTTTCTTCCCTACCCCGCAAGCACAACTCTAACCCTGCCAAACTGATTGCCAACCCTTCAGCCTCTGGGGCTTAAGGACAAGGGCTGTAGGCCATGCTCTCCTACACCTCTAGCTGTGTCCCAGCCCCACCCCTGTGAGATTTTATTTTATTTATTTAAAAATAAATTTATTTATTTAATTTATTTATTTTTGGCTGCTTTGGTTCTTCATTGCTGCGCGCGGCTTTCTATAGTTGTGGCGATCGGGGGCTACTCTTTGTTGAGGTGTGCGGGCTTCTCATTGCAGTGGCTTCTCTTGTTGCAGAGCACGGGTTCTAGGCACGCGGGCTTCAGTAGTTGTGGCACGCGGGCTCGGTAGTTGGGGCTCACGGGCTCTAGAGCACAGGCTCAGTAGTTGTGGCGCATGGGCTTAGTTGCTCCACAGCATGTGGGATCTTCCCGGGCCAGGGCTCGAACCCTGCATTGGCAGGTGGATTCTTAACCAGTGCGCCACCAGGGAGGCCCCCTTCGAGATTTTAAACAATACTCCTCCTAGAAAGATCTCCCTGACAGCCCCTGACTCTCTACCCGCAATCATTCATTAATCAGTACTCTTGTATCAGCTGATTTGCCCTGACTGGTTGAGGTACCCTTTCACCGCTGTGAGCCTAGACAGACCTGAGCAATTCTGGTTCCACTTTCTACCTGTGTACACTTAGGTTGCTTACTTAACCTGTTTCCTTATCCAGTACTGCTCTTAGACCAAGGCAGGGGGCCTTGGAGTAAGGGCCCTGCTCTGGCCCTCCTCTGACTATACCCCTCACCCAGAGTTCACGTCCCTCCTTTCAGACCACAACCCAGACACCCAAGACTCTGAAATTCCCAGCCCAAAGGCTCCTAGCCAGCTTCCAGGGTCTGCACAGCCTCTTAGGTGGAGCTACCTCCTTGATGGGTGCTATCCTCAGGATGGAGAGGTGGGCAAAGGATGGTTATTTGCGGAAGATGTGAGCAGAG